CGTTCTTTTGCTGAGATCATCGTCTGTGTTGAAAAGAGAAAAGTCGTGTGTTAAGCCCGCAAGGTTCGATATTTGTGCCTTCTTTTCGTGCTCTGCGTGGTTGTGTGTGATTCTTGTGGGAGCTTCGTCGTTCTTTTGCTGAGAGAAAAGTCGTCTTTTAAGCCCGAAAGGTTCGATATCTGTGCCTTCTTTTGTGCTCTGCGCGGTTGTGCGTGATCCTTGTGGGAGCTTCGTCGTTCCTTTTGCTGGGATCATCGTCAGTGTTGAAAAGAGAAAAGTTATCTGTTGAGCTCGCAAGGTTCGATATCTGCGTCTTCACTTCAGTCGGGTGTGAACGTTGTGGAGGCCTCGTTGATATCTCCTGCTGAGGGCCTTGTCTGTGTCGGTTGGGCGCGAACGTTGTGCTTTGGGCCAAAAGGAGGGGACCGTTAAGCTAGTCGGGTTCTGTGTACGCTTGGGTTTGCTTATGAACTTTGAAGAGAAGGGGGAACTTCGTGATTTTTTTTTTTTTTTTTTTTTCTTTTTTTCGCAGAGAATGTGGTTTGTGCATCTAGTCCCCTGGTCCGCGTCAGTTGGGCACTGACGTCGCGCCTCGGGGTGACAGGAAGGGGACGCTTGTCCGAGTTTGCCAAAGCTCGAAGCCCACGTCTCTCGCACTGACCGGTCTAAGCCTGTTTTTGGTCATTGGGCTACTTATTCGTCAGACCGAAAACGGGGGCCTTCTGGCGGTGACGGAGAAAGGTCGCTCCTTTGGCGAACGCGCCGTCTGACTTCCGGCGAGCGGAGCAGGCAAAGAAGGGGGGGGGCAGAGAGCCCAAGCCGAAGGGTCAGGGTGACACTAGAGTACCGGGCCAAAAAGGGGGGGGGCTGGCCTAGGCGGGGAGGGGAAAAAGGGGGGGAAGGGTTAGCCCGACAAAGTGGCGCCGTTGCCGGGGATGAGCACTTCTACCGCGGCCGCGCGGCCGCGGCCGGCTCAGCATCTACAGGGTAAGGGAGGATCGGCGTGACAGGCAGTGGCAGTTCTTCACCAGTTTCAGGTGGCCGCTTCTTCAACAACCTTTCTTCAGCACCAGTTCCCTCAGGCCGACGACATCTTCTTCGACGTTTCTTCGACGACAGTGCTTTTTTTCTTCGGACTACCAGGCGGGTTCTTAGTACCAATTTCAGGCGGTCAGCGTAAAAAATGGGACTTCCAAGGGCTTGTTTTTTGGAGGGGTTGTCGGGGCTGTGTTTGGGTGCGAGGGACTTCGGGTGTTGGGCTTGTCTCCTTGGCTTTTTGCAGGTCCGCTCCGGCCCGCTTGTGATCTCGGCTCCCGCTCCCGGCCTTCGAAGTGTGAGCAGGTCAGATCTTTTTGTGTGCTTGATTTTCGCGAGTGTTTATTTCTAAAAATTTAAAAACGAAGGGGGAGCACAGTTTGCTTGAGGGGGGTTGAATGAGGGTCAAGAACAACGAAAGGGCGGGAAGAAGAACAGTCCGGGAAAATAGAGTAAGAGGGTCTGCTCGAGGGGAAGAGAGAGAGAGGGAGAGGAGGAGAGAGGAGAGAGGGGTCCGAGAGGGTCTGGGGGTGCTGTCTATTTGGGACCCGAGGGTGTCGCCAAATATTCTTGATCCGCACGGGTTGTGGAGGACACCTACCCGGGGGAAAAGCCCCGCACGAGAGAGGGTGTCTAGAGAGGGGTTAGGGGCTTCGGTTCTCGACCCGCGAGGGCTGACGACGGGACCAACTCCCGCAAGAAAGCGGGACTCTCAAACGGGACCGGTTCGGGACTTAGGGGAAAGGAGAGTGGTGTTACGGGTACCGGGACGAGGGGGAGAGAGAGACACACCTACATTAGTTAGCGAGGGGGTTAGAGAAGAAGGGGGAACTTGGAGACCCTTGGACGAGGGATCGGAGGCCGAATCCAGGGTGGACCGGTGTCTAGCCGATTTCTCGGACTCAGACCTGGGGGACTACTGGGATTATGACAACGAATATTGAAGACGCGAGGTACGTATACTTGTCAACTCGACCTGAGAGACTCTTCCTAAGGCTCCGCTTTTCCCACCCCACTTTTTCTGTCTTCCCGATTTAAAATTCCAAGTGATTCCAAGAGAGAAAAGAGGCAGCGAGAGGCGGAAAAGGAAGAAGGGAACGGAGTGCGAAGAGTTCACGATGAGGAGAATGGGGAGGGAGTAGATAGGCTAGTGATTTCTGATAAATAGGTGGATCTTGTCCCGGGACCTGGGTAATTCCACGGTTGAGGTGGGCTGAGTAGAGGCGTGGTACCGGATAGGCTAACTTAAGACTAGAGGTTGGTTCAGTAGGGGGCATAGGACCCGAGTGTGTGACTTTGGTCCGACTCCGGGGAAGGGGTTGCCACCCTTCCTCGGGGATAACCTGTATCAGCGGCTAGTCTCTAGGCCGGGAGTGGGGAGGAGCCTCTCAGCGGGGGAGGACAGGAAGGTAGCCGAGTGAGACGGCGTTCCTTCTCTGGTCCATTTGATCCTTCTGAGCTCACAGGCTTCTTCTCCTTGTGGGATAGAGGTGGTCTCTCGAGTGGCCAAAAGGAAATAGGGACTTAGGGAAAATTTTCTTTTGATTATATTGCATGAGCTTGGAAGCCGTTCCGGAATGGATTAGCGTGTGTACGTACGAAAGTGTTGACGTGTGGTATTACTCCTTTCGGCTATGGACGGGTGACTTTGATGTGGGTGTCTATATAGAGGAGGGACAAGATCAAGGAGAGGACTTCCTTCGTGGGTGGGAAGAGGCGATAGGCCACTCCCGCGGCTCGCGGGAGGAATTGAGAGGTTATGGGTACAAGTATTTTTACTCTCTGGGATACCGAATTTACCCCAGAGGTGGTCGCCCAGCGCCGGTAATTCCGAACGCTTATCTCGATGGGTCGGATGAATGAAAAGTGCTAGTAGGGATTGTGGAGAGAGTGGTGAGCGCGGCGAACCCATGAGCTTGAGGCCTTTGGAGTTTGAACCTGCAGGAATTAGTGTAGGTGATCGAGGAGGGGTAAACGTGTGGTGCTATACCTTCTACTGGTGGACCGACCACTTCGGCATAACCTTGTACGTAAAAGAGGGTGTTGATAGAGGGACAGGATATTTGGATAGCTGGGAGGAAGCGGTCGGTCATGCGCAACTCGAGAGACAACTGTTGGGGGCTTACGAGATTAACTACTTCTACTCGTTGGGGTGTAGGACGTATTCACGAGGGGGTAGGTCTGTCCCTACTATTCCGGAAACCTTCCTAGACGGGTCGGATGGGTGGAGAGCGCCAGTTCAAATCATAGAGGAAATAGTCCAGGGGGATGGTTAGGATTATAGAGGGTACTGAAGAAGAAGGGGTTCGAATAGAGAAAACAGACTTAAGCAAAGACAGGGAGTGTTTTAGCGTCCCTTTAGACCATCGCACCGAGAGGTATCTAGCCGGCCGCGAGAGGGGGTTAGAGCTAGAACGAGGGGTTTTTCTTTGGGCTCGTTTCGTGGTAGGAACCTGGGAAGGGGATAGGTGGTCCCGAAATAGGCCCCAGAACAGGAAGAGACCCAGGCAAATGGTGATCCGTGCGGAAGGAACTGTCTATTTGAGTAAGGAGGCCTGGGTCGATTACGTCACTCACTTGGTCTTGGGTTGGTACCGCGCGGATCATTGGGAGGCATGAGCGGGTCCGATTTTAAGGCAGATTTTTGAGGCGGAGCCCCTTAGACACTGCCCACCCGTTGAGATAAGGGTGACCTGCGTGCGAGACGAGGAGTACCCCCTCGCCACAGGGTGCATCAGAGCCATATTCCCATCGTTCGTTTTTCGAAGGGTGAGCGGGAAGGAGGAGCGGTACGAGAGGGTTGTGCGGTCCATAGTGCGAGAGAGGGGGTGGTAGCTCTCCGTTAGGTCGCTCCATTGGTACGACACCTATTGCGTGGATAACCCTGTACCTTATGAGATCAAGGCCTGTAGGATTCGCGCAGGGATCTTTAGGGAATCGACTCGGGATCGCGAGGGCGGGAGAGATTACGGTTACCAAAGGGTCTTCGGAGTCCCTCAGCGAGTGTTTTAAATGAATGGTGTTCCACGACAGGGGACAGGGACGGTTTGTCCAGTCCCCCTTGAAAGGCAGTGAGACTCTTAGATTAATCCCTAGCAATAGAAAGGTTTTCGATTGGGAAAGGGTAGAAGGAGGCAAGACCACCGTGAGCGGGGAGTTCATGTGGGTAGAGTCTGAGGAAATTGAGGGCCGAGGGGTTGAGAGGTGTCTCGAGGTGACCGCGGTTATCTTCGTGGCCCCTGACGCTTGGGCGAGGATCATAGTGCCCCTGGTCCTGGGACAAGGGGGTGGGCTGGATAGGCTGTTGAGGGAAGCAAGGGAAGTAAGAGGGGAATGGGTAAGTAGGGTCCGAGAGAGATTTGCCTTTACAGCTATCGAGAGGGAGAGGTTCGCAGGAGAGAAAAAACTTCCAAGGGCGTGCTATCGGTTAACTGAGAGGGTGTCGTCTTTCCTGTTTCGAAGGACTGATGAAGGAAAGATAGTGAGGCTTCTAGAGAGGGGAAGGAGTCTGGGATTATCCTTCGGGGCCCTGTGGACGCTGTATACGCACTGCATCGATCGGGGTGTCACTCCACGCAGGAAGCTTTGGGGCGTTTTTAGGAGATTGAGGTCTCTAGAAAAACCATTCACTCTCTCACCAGAAAAATACCATCAGTGGGTTTTCAAAACAGCATAGGTAGATGGTGAGATTCGTACTCAATGAGAACAGAGCAGTAGAGTCGATAGAGGCTGATGACGCAGGTAAGGTTTTGATTCCGGGAGACCCTCAAGTGACCCCTTATTGGATGAGCGTGGAGAAAGGGGGAGTAATCAGAGAAGGGGCATACGTCTGGGTTTGAGCTCGAAGACTCACTTGGAAGGAAGGTGTGGAAAGAGGAGGCCCACCCGACCTCGGTCGTTTCCTGGAGATTCGGGCTACAATTTTTCTCAACGAAGAGGTGTGGACCGAAGTTTGGAGGGGTTTGGTGACCGGGCGACTGACGCATTTGGAGTACCGGGAATCCGCGAGGCTGTTGGCGAACAACCTTGTGTTGGCTGACTACGAGGAAGGAACTTTTGAGTCGTGGTCATTAGAGTCCTTCGCCGAGCTTGGAGAGGTCCCTCGCGCATCTGGGGTCCTCCACGCTAACCTACCCCAGTTCGTGGCCAGTTCGTTCCTAAGAGACTCAGAGGAGAGGGTAGTGGCAGTGCTTAGAGCGGCTCGAGAATCCGGGGTGCGGGCCAGGGGTTTGTTCTGGCTTTATACTCCGTGCGTGGACGCGGGAGTTCCCCCAAGGAGTGAGCTGTCTGCCATATTTGGGAGGTTGAGAGAGTTTGAGGGACTCCGATCCCTCGTCGCGGACGTTCCGTACGCCCGTCTCTTCGGAGAAGTGCAGGTGTCTAACCGGCGGGGTTTCGAGGGCCGATGATAAGGGGGATCCCGAAAACTCTCTGGGCATCCAAAGAGCCCGTCGAGGATACCGGGGAGGTTGTCAGTATCACTCTGCCTAGGGCCAGATTGACTGAGCCAACTAGGACTCTCTTGTGAGAAGAAGGGAAGATCCGGCGTGGTAAGGCTTTCATACGATTTGCGGTAAGTCGCGAGGGGAGGATCGTAGTTGGAGAATCCCGAATATTCCTTTCGAAGGAAGGCCTTGTTGAGATAGCGCGTAGCTTACGAATTGGGCATGACCCTCTCTGGGACGCTCGAGCCGTGAGAGGCCGGCTAGGAGAGTTAGCAGAGGAATTGAGGCCTCACGAGGGGTGCGACGAGGAATATCTAGTGACCTATGGGGGTTGGGAAGAAATACCGCGGTTCCTCTCCAGTGAGCCGGTGGAGGTCCCCCGTTTCATTTTTGAGCGGGTTTACCCCTCCGAGGCTGTTAAGAGGGCGGTAGAAAGAAGGGTTTCCATCCTAAGTCAGTTCAGGTTCACGGGATCGGACCTCCATACCTTGTTGACTTGGTGTTTTCGGGATCCCTATAGAGACGATTGGTCGACTCTAGAGGATCTGGGTTACACCTTTGAAGGGTGGGGTCGACACACAAGGGAATCTAAGGTATCGTGGGGATACTTAGGTAAGATCTGTGAGGGAGAGCTAGTGGGGTTGGACCCCTCAGATTTGATTCGGATAGCAATTGCATGTCGTCGACGGAAGCTAGGGGATGAGCGAGTTGGACCTTGAGGGGCTTGTGGGGTTGGATAGCGTAAGGGAAGAGGTTCACCGAATCCTCGCTCTATGCTGGGAGGAAGAAAGGAGGGCTAGGCCTGGGTCCTTAGCTAGGATCAAGCTACTTGAGACGACGACAATCGCTATCCTCGATGAGGTCACGGTAGATCTTCTCGTGCGGAGAGGGGATGAGAGCCTCGTTCGTCTCCAATAGGATTCGTTGGGAATTGGAGACCTACGAGGACGGTAGCGAAGTTAGGGTCGAGGGAAGTGCGGAGCTTAACACGGAATTGGGAGAGGACCGGGTGGTCCGCGCCGAGACGGAATTTCTAGTGGAAGTCCGACGGCTGGCCTTGTGAAAAAGAAGAAGCTGGACCACGCTAACTAGCTTTTCGGTCCACGTTAGGGACGCGGGTGGAGTGAGGTCCTCAAGAGCTTGGAGAGAGCCTTTGCTAGAAGTAGAGAGAAGATTCGAGGAGGACTCTAGGTATCTAGGAACACCGCTGACGTCTAGGACGCACCTTGTGGAGACTCGATTTTGGGATAGAACAGGAGAGTATGAGGAGGCTTTGCGCCAAACTCTGCGAGAGGCCGAAGAGGCCGGTCGTGCTAGGTGCGAGGACTCGTTGGTCGAGGCCGCTACGAGGTTGGCAGGCGTGAGGTGAGGCTCCTATGATTAGATACGAAAGGGGGGACCCTTATGGTACCTTGGATAGGGGTTGGAAAATGGGGGAGTGACCCTCCCTAGGGTTAGAGGGGAAGGAGTGGTATCTACCGAGTTCTTCGAAATCTACGGGCAAGAGACGGTGGTCATGTTCTCAGTGGCGTCCAAGGGAGGCGACTGCACTAGGAAAGCGGAGATTTTTTTGTCCCCCGACGACCGATTAATCTTTGTGACTGAATTAGCAGAAGGAAAGGACCCCCTAAGCATCACCCGTACGGCCCTGGACTGATTGCAGAGATTGAGAGCCGGCGAGGGACGCGTGGTCGATCAAGTGGAGTACCGGGAAAAATCGGAGTTCCTAGGGCGGCTCACGGGAGGACTTGGGAAATCCCTACCTGGGCCTATCGGCTACTCTACGCCGACGACAAAGCCGTAAAGAAGGTCCGATTTAGGGGCCAGGTGATAGAGAAATTTCCATTAGGAGAAGAAGAGGGGCACAAATTATTCACCCAGTGCTGGGAGTCGAGAGAGGACACCGACTTCGAGTGGTGGGCGCGCGTTGGAGAGTTCATCAAGCCCCTGTTCTCCGGACAAGTTGGTGATGTGGACAGGGATTTGATTAGGAGGTGTGCGCAAGAAGGGATTAGGGGCATCTCAGACCTGGAGATCGCGAATCTTGCATTGGCCGCTAGCGAGGAGAAGAAACTGAGAGATTCTTGGTGGACTGTGACCAGCGAGGAGTCGGAGGGAGAGAGTGCTGACGGGGATTCTAGTGAAGAGAAGGGGAGATCGTAGGAAGAAGAGAGCTCGGAAGATAGCACAGACAGTAGTGAGGGGGACGAGCTGGAAGGTAACGCGGATGATAGTGAGGGAGGCGACTAGAAATTGCCAATAAGGGTGCATGGAGAGTGAAGTAGAGGCTGGTCTCTCTAGTCCGCCGAAAACCGTTGAAAAGAGGGGGTTAGTAAAGAGCCCCGAGTTGGGAGCTAGGCTAAGTAGGGTGGTGGAAGAAATGACGGAGGGAACATAGACGCTAGATAGGGCCGAGGGGGGTCCGGAAATGGCTTCGGGAGAAAGACAGGCCTCGGAGGGGCAAAGAGCTAGCATGGAAGTGCGAGTGCACAGGGATGTGGGGCCGCGGGTGCCGGTAAACGAAGGGGTCACCGAAGCCGCAAGAGGCGTTCCGGTGGAATCCCAGTGGGCGAAATTTAATGGATGCGGAAGCAAGGATGGAGGAAGCGCGAGAGTTTCCTAGAGATAGACAGGGGTATCGACCCCTTAGGAGGGAGGAAGAGGAGTGTCAGGACAGGAGGGACTTAAGAGAAGGGAGGTCAGCAGAAGCCGGCGGCAGGCCGCGGAGATGGGTCGAAAGGATCCCGGGGGCCGTCACCAGTAAGAGGCAGGCTTTAGTAGGGCAAAGAACTGGCGCGGAAATGCGAATGCCTGCGAGAGAAGGGGCGATCGAGGGCTCGAGGGGCCTTCCTATAGAGTCTCGGTGGGCGGATTTACCGGACGCGAGAATGGGAGAGGCTCAAGAATTTCCAAGAGATAGGGTGGGGTACCGGCCAACTAGGAGAGAAGAGGAAGGGGGACCGAGTAGAAGGGACCTTAGAGACGAGAGGCCGGCGGAGGCTTGTAGTAGGCCACGGAGGTGGGCCGTAAGAGAAGCGGATGCTGCATGGGCTCCCGGCGAGATAACGGGCAGGAGTCAGGGGGTGGAGGCGTGGAGAAGCTTTAGGGGGCAGGACCACGCTCGGTGGGAGACGGATTGGCCAAATGAGCGGGGCCGTTACGGGGAAGACCCCTGGGGGCCGCCAAGACCCCAGGCACGGGTAAAGGAGCCGGATCCCTCATGGTACAAGCCATACGACCCGGCAATCGATGGGCCAATGGAAGAACCCTATTTTCGCCGATACGACGACCGGCGAGTCCCCTACTACGACGTCAACCTGGGTCTGGAGGCACTCTTTTTCGACGGACGTGACGTAACGGGATTCGTAGAGAAATGGAAAAGTTATGCTTACCGGAAGAGATTCTCTGAAAGGGAGTGGATTGACTATTTCATCCAGCACTCGGACCCCGAGTTAGACCCCGCGATCCGGGCTATCTACCCCGCGGATGGATGATGGAGGACCTTCAGGACGAGTCTATTGCGAACTTTCGCCTGTGATGATCTGATCCCTACCGTGGAGGGTTTGCGACGAATTACAAGAGGGGAACGGGAGAGCTTGGTGGCCTTCACCCGTAGGTTTAAGCGCATGTCCCAAGCCCTGGTGGATAGGGGGATGCTGTCTGAAGTGGATAGGTGCGAGATGTTCATGCTGCACCTACCCGAGGAAAAGAGGAAAGAGGTCATTGAAAAGGCCCCGAGGGATTCTGCCAATTTCGAGAAAGTCGGTGAGGTGGTTTTCATAGGGGGAGGAATGAACGTGAGAGAGTACATGAAAAAGACCTTGGACATGGTACTCCGCAACATGCGAAGCACGTGGAACGATGGTCCAAGGGGAAGCGATAGACCGCCCCCGGGTCCACCTGGTCCCCGATGGGGAGAACGGCCGACCGGATGGAGGAACGAATCGAGTGGCCAAGGACAACAGAAAAATTGTCGCTGTAATTCTTTTTGATATCTACTTATTCATGCCAGACGGGCTGTGACGAACTGTTGAAACTGGGTCTTCTGCTGTGTTCAACTACTCATCAACATTATCAACTTATTCCCAACGAGTCCAACATGGTTTCCAACAGGTCTCGAACTTTTCTCAACGACTCCAACATGGTTTCGTACAGGCCTCCAACATGAACGAACACGTATCCAACATGGTTCTTGACCCACATTTCGGTGCATGATAGCTGAGAGAGTGCGTGTGTGTGTGTGTGTGGCGGTCGTGTATTGCGGTCCGGTCCTGTATAAC